GGGACTGCCAGAGCTCTGTCATCATTTGGCTGAAGGATGGGTGACTGGGACCAACTTCTTAAGTAATCTCTTCGTTTTCAAGAGGCAAAGTCCTGGCAAGGTAAGAATGTACAGTTCAGAAATAATCTGTTTGGTGTGGAGCCTCTGCTGACCACAAGGATCCTCCTGTGCTGGCATCCAGTACTGGCTGAACTCGTTTCTGGATGGGAGGTTGTCATGGGAGGTCTCCCACAACACCATGCCTATTACATGGTGGGGAAGAATGGAAAGCCTAGGCAGAATAATCAGGTTGTGGAGGAGGGAGGAGAAAGTGAATGTCAGTGTGTGGATTGCACCACTGAAGTGAGAGCGTGGCTGCTCCTTCTGTAGGTTTCTGGCTTTTCAAGTGTCTGTCAAACTGGTCTCCTCACTGGGTTTTAACAGCTTGAGAAAGTGTGTCAAGCTTTTTTGAGTTTATGGAAAGAGAAACCTGTAGCACAGTGATAGTGTCCTTGTCCTCTTCACCTTGAAGAGCTCTCTAGTTTAGCTTCTTCCTTGCTGTTCTGTCCTTGCTGTGGAAAGCTCCTCTTGCCCTGAGACAGGAGGCCTCAGCTGCCTGTGGCTCTGAGGGCAGATACCCCTTTGTCTGTGCCCACACTGGAGCAGGTGGTTGGACACTGTGAAGGCTTCACCTTTGGAACAATGACTTGACCCAGAATTTGCAGAGGCTGAGATGTCAAGAAGTGAGTGGACCTACTGCTTAACCCTGGAAACTCACTGTCTCCCTTGTCTTCAGTTTTGCCTTCTAGTGTGTGGAGTGTTCACTTTCCTGGCTGTCCTGGGCCGGTATATCCCTGGGCTCTTGCTCTCATACTTGCTGTGTAAGTAAATCTCTGTGCCAACACAGACTTACATGTGAAATGCAATGAGTGGGTGCCAGGTTCTGAGGAATGGGGCTCAAAAGAAAAGCTTGTGTGAATGGCTTTAAAATTTAAAACAATGCATTCTGCCAGGAATGTGGTGGTTCTTGACCAGGACTTAAAGTCTGGTCTGCAGAGATGTTTGAGTGCTTAGTAACTACAGGTCTAAGCACTAACAGGTTGGCCTCTCAATTTTGTTAAATTGGCAGAGGTGATGGCACCTGTTCTAACAGCACTGCCCTCAGTGCTCGGAGCTGCCGTGCTCTGTGTTGTGCTGCATCACAAAACAGGCAGGATGTTTTCCAAGCAGCATCCTGAATGACCTTCTAACCTGCATCCCACTCCCTGCAGTGCTCTTGGTCCTGCTGTGGCCCCTGGCCGTGTACCACAGGCTGGGGCAGCGCATGTACCTGCGGCTGGAGCCCGTGCTGCAGCGGCTGGACTTCAGCGTCCGGGGATACATGACAGCGAGGCAGCGCGACAGGCAGCGTGAGTCCTGGCCCTTGCTGGCCCCAGGGTTTCACACCTTGGTCTTTGAGACCTGGAACGGGCTGTGAACAGAGGCTCCGGCCGTGGTGGGTGGTAGGGGCTGCATGTCTGGTATGGCAAATTCTTGGAACTGCCTTGGGAAGAAAGAGAGGCAGTTCCGCCTCTGCAGCCATCTCCTGGGAAGCAGCTGCCGTGGGCTTTTCACAGCACTGAGCTGCTCCAGTTCTAGGCTGCCAGAACTGTGTGTTCTCTATTCTGGAAAAAGGAGGAAAGGCTCTGTGCGAGGGAGTTCTAAACATGTTCATTTCAGCAAAAACCCTGCTATGGCTGCAGTCAGAAATGATCATGGCTTTGCTGTGGAACAGAGCTGGCTCTGCTCTGCTGTGTGCAGTTTGGGGTTTTCTGGTCCTGCACAGAGCCTTGCCCCAGCAGCAGTAACAACTTTGTGTCTGGTTTCTACCAGTGCGTGGCCGGGCCCTTGGTCAGGAAGCCGCAGACGACGGAAGTGACAGCGAAGAGGAGCTGGCTGCATTCTGCCCCAAGGTAACTGAGCCTCTGGGAGAGGGAAGAGCTCAGCTAGAAAGAGCAAACCACACTGTGGGGATGTGCAGCATCTGGCTGAGACGTGAGCAGCACATCTGGCAGCACAGCTGAGAGTGACAGGAGAGCAGATGAGGACACTGTCCTTTCAGATTTGTCTTGCCCATTCTGTTCCACGAAAGAATGTCCAGAGCTGTTTGTGCCAGCTGCAGTCTCCTAGCCTGTGCAGTAAATGTGAATGAGTCTCAGGTACCAGTCTCCCATGGGGGCCAGGTTTAGCTGGAGAACACTCCATCATCTCTTTTGTCTTGAGGCATGGGGATAACCTTTCTAGTGCTGATGTTTTCAATTTTTTCTTCTATTTCAAAGCTGGATGACTCCGTGGTTGCCAAGGAACTGACCATCTCCGACTCTGAGCATTCAGATGCTGAGGTTTCCTATACTGAAAATGGGATGTTTAACCTTTCAAGGGGTCAGACGCCCCTGACAGAGGGATCAGAAGGTGAGAGGAAACAGCTTCTGGAAGGTGTGGAATGCCAAACAGGCACCACTGTGATAGGCTGGAGGGAGGATGTGTTCCCATCATTGAAGTCTGGCTGTTTGATGTCAGCCTTGCTGCTGGAAATGCGCTGCAATTGCCTGTTTTGTTCAGAACTGAACTTCCTCCTTCACTCCTGTGGTGCTTGAGGGGAGCGAGGGCAGCAGCTCTGCAAAGGCAGATCTGGCTCTGCAAAGGCAGACCTGGCTCTGCCAGCCTGGCTGTGGGTGCTGCTGCTCCCCTCTCGCAGGTGGCTGCTTCAGCACCCCTGTTCCTTGCGAGTGAGCTGGGAGGTCAGTGGGATCTGAACACTTGGGATGGGGGAGGGAGCTGCTGAAGAGAGTGGTCTGTGAGCTCCCAACAGTCCATCCAGGGGAGGTGCTGGCCCAGCTCCTGCCTGGGCCTGTGGGTGCTGGTGAGTACTGGCAATTAAAGAACTTTCTCCTCTTCCAGACCTGGATGGTCACAGTGACCCAGAAGAATCTTTTGCCAGGGATCTCCCTGACTTCCCCTCCATAAACCCAGAAGCAACTGGCATAGATGATGAAGATGACACCAGCATTGGGATCCCGAGCCTGGCGTACCGCTCACAAGGGACAGAGGATCTGCAGCTCCCATACGAGCAGGAGGAACTTGGCACGCTGCCATCAGTGCAGAATCTCACCAACAACATCGCTGGCTTTGTCACCAGGGGCATGATCCAGCTGGCACTGTCAGGGGGCCCTCAGCCCGGCTCCTCACGCAGCACCAATCCCCAGAGAGGGGCAAAGACTCACCTCAGAGCAGCCAGTTTGGACTTGGACACTGATGCTGAAGGGGATGACTTTGAACTGCTGGATCAGTCCGAGCTGAACCAGCTGGATCCCACTGGCTCCCGGGGCCAGTAAATCATCCTGTCACTTCCCTCTGGTTTTCTGTTGCGCATCATGGAGTGAATCCTAGAAGGAAAAGCTTTGCACAGTTCTCTCAATCGTCTCCTGTGAGTCTGGGTGATGTGACAGCCAGTCCTGGCTGGGTGCACCGCTGCGACTTGTGACTCCGTAGCCTCGCTTGGATCTTAAAATAAAGGACACTGGCAATCTGTAGGGAAGAGGCGTTGATGGGATAGCTCCACAATCACCCTGCACTGTCTGACGTGATGCTGCCTGCTCCAAACTTGCTCTAAGACAATAAATCTGGTGTTTGTGGCTCTCAAGTCCAGTGGGACTGACAGCATCGCCAGGAACAATTGTGCACTGAGTTCTGGTGCTGATGTGTAACCAGGGGAACAGGACAGAGCCCCTCTGACGTGGTGTCTGGGACTCAGTGCTGTTCTGTCTCTGACAGCTGTTCCCCAATCCCAATATGTGCACAAATCCAAGTCTTCTCTCCCAGCAATATCCAACTCCAGGTGGAACCAAGCCCCTTGCTCCACTGTGGATGTTGTGCAGCCACAATGTTTTCCTTGCACTGGCTGCTCCCTCGGCTCCAGCTCCTTGTGATGCTGTTTTGTAAGAGCTCAATGGCAATAAGACACCTGCTGTGACCATCAGACCACCTACAAGAACATCCACGTGTAGCCCCTGCTCTTGTGTTGCTTTTCTGAACTAACAGCCTTTGTTAACAGCCAGCTAACACTTTGCTAGAAACCCCTGTGCTGCTCCAGTGCGTTCCCGTGGGCAGGGCCGAGGCTGTGCATCACCCCGGCTGTTTTCCTGGAGGAAGGAGGAGGTGGAGCAGGGCTGACAGGGCGGTGGTGTGTTCCCTGGGCCCTTGCTGCCTCCAGCCCTGTGCAGGCAGAGCCCAGCACAGGGACAGCAGCCCAGACCACCAGTGACTGAGGAGGTCGTGCCTGCCACGGTCCTGTGAACAAACCAGCAGACCCCAGGGAGAGCCAGCCCCCTGTGCCCACCGAGTGCCCCCGTTACTTTTCCTAAGCCATACAGACCTAGTTCTGATCACATTTGTGCATCCAAGAACGTACCTCGTCAGGGACCCCGTTACTGGCTGCTGTTTGTCTGATTCCGCTTATCCGACTGCGTCGGCCGTGCCGGGGGAGGTCGGGGACGGGGTGGCGGCCTCAGCCGGGAAAGGGAGGCCGGTAACGGGTGGTTCCATACTCGAGGCCTTTCGCCTCGAGTCCCGTGCGGAGGTGGGGGAGGGCCAGGGGGCTGCGCTGCTCGCCCGTTCCGGTCGGTGAGTGCCGCGGTAGGAGTGCTGTTCCGCTCGGTGAGTGCCTGCCCGGGAGTGCCCGTTCCACTCGGTGAGTGCCTGCCCGGGAGTGCCCGTTCCGCTCGGTGAGTGCCGCGGTAGGAGTGCTGTTCCACTCGGTGAGTGCCTGCCCGGGGGTGCCCGTTCCGCTCGGTGAGTGCCTGCCCGGGAGTGCCCGTTCCGCTCGGTGAGTGCCTGCCCGGGGGCGCTGAGCCCCGCGCCGGCCCGGCCCGGACTCGCTCCCGCCGCGGGCCCCGTTCCCGCGGGGGCGGGCCGGTACCGGGCGGGGCACGTTACCCCCGCCAATCACGGTGTGCCCCGCCCTCGCCGCGATTGGCGGGGAGCGGGCGGCGCGCCGGAAGTGCGCGAACGGCGCCAACCGGGAACGGAGCGGGGCTGGAGGCCCGGGGCCGCGGGATGAGCAAAGGGCGCGAGGCCGCGGCGGGCGGTGAGTGCGGGAGTGGCGGGGGAGCACCGGGCGGCCTCTGCGGCCCCAGGAGGCCGCTGTGACCGGGGCTGGTCCCTCAGGAGGCGCCGCCGCCGTGCTGCTGCGGTACCTGCGGGAGCAGAACCGCCCGTACAGCGCCCAGGACGCCTTCGGGAACCTGCAGCGGGAGCACGGGCTGGGCAAGGCGGTGAGCGGGGCCGGGCCGGGCCGGGGCGGGGCGGACGCGGGCCCGGCTGACAGCGCGTCCCGCAGGCCGTGGTGAAGGCGCTGGAGCAGCTGGCGCAGCAGGGCAGCGTGCGCGAGAAGGTCTACGGCAAGCAGAAGATCTACTTCGCTGAGCAGGTGAGCCCCGGAACCGCCCGCCGGCCCCGCTTGCCCCGCACCCCTGACCCGCCGCTGCCCGCAGGAGCAGCTCCCGGCCGCCAGCGATGCGGAGCTCCGCGGGCTGGACGGGGAGATTGCCGAGCGCTCCGCCCAGCTGCAAGCGCTGCAGCAGAGCTGCCGGCACATGGAGGCGGGTGAGTGTGCCCGGCCGGGCAGCCCCGAGCCACCGCGGCATCCCCGGGGGCACGGGCACCCGTGCCCTGGTGCCGCGTGGCAGCCCGGCCGGTGATCGGTGCCACCTTCCCAGAGCTGAAGGACTTGAACAGCTCCATGACAACCCCTGAGATTACCAGGGAGATCGAGGCACTGAGGAAGGACTGTGCCAGTTACACGGAGAAACTGGAGAGGATTAAATCTGCTACCAACCATGTGACTCCAGAGGAAAAAGAGAAGGTGAAGAGCTGCGTGTGAACCCGGGCCAGCCTGGATCCAGGATCCAGCACTTCCCTTACAGGCATTGCTTGCCCGGGGCTCCCGACAGCCCCGCGGGGTAGCTCTGACCCGGTGCTGTTGGCAGGTGTGCCGGGAGCAGCAGCTGTACCGCCGGGAGTGGCGCCGGAGGAAGCGGATGGTACCGGCCGTGCTGCGGGTGGGCAGCAAGGCCCTGCTGGGACTGCTGCCCACGGCCCTCACCCGCTCTGTCTCGCCAGGCCACCGAGCTGCTGGATGCCATCCTGGAGGGGTATCCCAAGAGCAAGAAGCAATTCTTTGTAAGTACCCAGGCTGGGTCATGCCTATGGCTGCTGAGCCAGACCCCAAGCCTGTTCTGATCTGCTCGGTGCCATGCAGGAGGAGGTTGGGATAGAGACAGATGAGGACCACGGTGTCGTGATGCCAGCGAACACATGAGGTGCTGGGAGAGCCTTTGTTCTGGGGAGAAGCTGCTGCAGAGCTGCCTCTGAAACTTGGCTGTTGGGTTGTTCTTTTTCTCTTTTTGCAGGACTGGCATTTGTCCTGTGTATTTATTTGGTTTTGTTTTAAAATGTTTTGTGGTTGGAAGGGTGGGTGGGTAGGAGTAACCTGGCACTGGCCCTCTCCTTGCAGCAGAATGTCGTTTTTTCCTGCCCCCAGTGCACAGAGCTGTCTGGCTGGGGTCTGATGTGGCTGGGGGGACACGTGGGGGCACTGGTGCTGTGTCCCTGGTGTTCTGGTAAGGAAAGGCAGAGAGGGACTCTCTGGGCTGCAGAACTCTGTCTGTGTTCTAGCTGCTTCCTGCTATGTGGCAGAGCAGTCACATGAGAGTATGATCCATTAAACACCAGGATTTTGGTTCAGCTGCACATCTTGTGGTGTTTGTCTCTTCAGAGGGTGTCAGGGCAGGGTTTAGGCCCTGAGGAGTGGGGAGGACAGGAACCAGAAGAGGGTAACCTGAGCCACAGGGGCTGGAATGAGCTTCTGGAAACCTCCAGCTCTAGGGCACAGCTGCAGGAACTCACCATCAGAAAAATCTTTAAAATGTTCATTGAAATTTATTTAATTACTTTTCACAATAGAAAAATACATCACTTCCACGTGTGAGGTCTGTAAAATTCCACGTCTTCTTCCCAAGGCAGGAGGCAGTGCTCCCTCCTCAGTGCTGGAAAAACTGCCTGAAATAAACATTCCCTGGATGTGCCCCTGGAGCAGGAGCACAAACATGGTTATGGAGAACAAAGCCTGCTGCTGGCAGCACCCTGGTCCCATCACTCTGGACAGTGACCAGCCCTCACCTGAGCAGAGCTGTGACCCAAACTGGGCATGGGACAGGGTCAAACATGTCCCCGATAGCAGCTGCTTCTACTGCTGGCAGAGGCAGCGCTCTGGGACTGTTTCAAAATTTACAGTAACAGAAATCAAATTGAGGCTGGTCATGTATGATTGTGTATAAAAGTTCTAAGGAGGAGCAGCAAGTGCACGTGCCCATACTATGCTACAGCTGCAGAACCTTCCTGTGCAGTACAGCCAGTTTCTGAAAAGGAGAGATGTTCCAGCAGTTGCAGGAACATCCTCTGTTCCTTTCCAGGGACTCACGGCTGCAGCACGCTTGGGGTTCAGCAAGGTCCTATCATGTGCTGCCAAGGCCACAGCTCCCAGCTCTTGATGGGCTCATCCTGCTGCCAACACTGCCAGGCTCCTCCAAAATGCAATAGCTGACTTAAACAGCTGCTTCAGAGGGGCAGGGGACAGCCCAGAGGGTCAGGGAAAAGCAACTCCTACTGCTATACCAGAAAGCCATTGTTTTTAGTATGCATTTGTCACATTTCCCACCCTGGGGATAGGAGGGCTGTCACAGGCCTGAGGGCACAGAGTGGAGCTGCTATAGGATCAGCTCTGCAAGGAGAGTCGGTGGCACAGGCAACCCCATGGCACTGCCTGAGCCAGAGACTGCTCCTCACCACCTTTCCCTCCCCTCCTGCCCAGTCCCTATAAAGATTTGGTGGCACCAAATGGAGCAGCAGTGTTTGCACAGCCACTGTTGGGCTTCAGAAGGAATACAATAAATAATTCAGAGAACCTTAAAAACAGCCGCAAGGGAGAGGGCCCAGGGTGGTGCCTGGCACCCTGGCCTCTGGCAGAAGCGCCCCATCCCCACGGGCACAGAAGTGGCACGGGAGCTCAGTAGAGCTGGCTCTTCACCTTGTGCAGGACCCCGATGACAACGTCCCGCAGCGTCTGTGGCAGAGAGAGGACACAGTCAGTTGCTCTGTGGAGGGACAGCCACCCCTGTGCCACTGTCTGTGCCCCCTCAGCCATGGCACCAGCCCTCTGCAGCCCTGCTTTCACCTGGGGCTTGCAGTGCTCCTCAATCCAGCTGAAGACACACGCTGAGAGCTCCTGGAAACTCGTTACAGAGACTGAGGCATTGAAGGACTGGAACAGGGAGTCCATGATGCCTTGGAAAACATTGAACTTCACCTCGTCAGAGATCTGGTTCTTCCCCTCATTCGGGTTGTCCTGATGAGCTTTCACAATCTGCTCATAGTTCCTGAAACAAGCACGGCACACCGAGGTCAGCAGTGAGGTCTCCACACGTGACTGACTCCAAGCTGCCCCTCCCAGCTCCCACATCCAGCTCCTGCTCCCAGCTCTGAATTCCCACACCAGCTCCTGCTCCTGGTTCTGTCTCCAGATGGAGAACCACTGCAGAACCCAGCAAGGATGTGAAGGAAAAACAGGAAATAGAGGGCATGACCCCAACAGCTCTTCCCTTACACTTTCATGATCTTCAAGGCCATCACATCTTTCCTGAGGGTAGAAACTTCCTCCTCCTGCTTTTTCTTTTCCTTGTGCAAGAACTGAATGTAGTCGATAGCTGAGCATGAAAACAGAGTGAGGATTTGGGAGCACACATGGACCCCTGAGATCCCCATGGGAGGTGCCTGAGCCAGGGCACCACCAGCTCCCACTGACCCAGTTCCCCTGGGGAAGGGAGTGCAGGGGAGCAGCACCCAAGCTCCCCAGAGCCTCATCACACCAGAAGGTTCTAAGGTGCTGAACTTTGCCCTGCACACCTCTAGGGCGGAGCTTTGGGGGTTGATAGCACCTCTTTCCCTCCTGCCCTTGGGACTCACTTTTCTGGAGCACAATGGCCTTGCTCAGCTTCTGTGAGCTGATGGAGAAATCCTGCTGCTCACAGGTGGGAACGATGGCCTGCAAGTCGTTGTAGCCTTTCTGCAGGGAAGTAGAGCCACAGAGTGTGGGCTCATCCCGTGAGGCCAGGTCCACACCCAGCTCCCACAGCACAGCCCCTCAGAGCCAGGCCAGCTCGCAGCACTCACTGAGCAGGACAGAGAAGTGCTGGGAGAGCAGGGGGTGCAGCAGGCTGGCAGCAGCGCTCCAGCACTGCCTGCTGCCCCTTGCCTCGCTCACCTTGATGGCATCTCGGCGCTTCTGCTCGGCCTGGGTGTGCGCCCGGCGGCGCTGGTCCTTGTACGACTCCTTGCAGGACTCCTGATGGTAGTCACTGTCCTCATCATCTGTGGGGACAGAGTGTGGCTGGGGACACAGAGGCACGAGAAGAGGCACAAGACAGCTCCAGGGATCACTGCAGCTGCAGCCAGGCCCAGCACAGCCCCCAGCCCGTTCAACTACAGCAGACTAGGCAGAAGAAAAGCCTTCCAAGGAGCTCTGGCAACACTTCCCCTCTCTTCAGGAGGCAGATGCCAGCAGCTCCCTTGGAAAGATGTCAAAACCAGAGTGATTCTCGACTCCTAACCCTGCTGGAAACCACAGAACCCTGATGCTGTTCCCACCACCTTCCTCCTCAGGACAGGAATCCTGCCCAGCCACGCTCACCCCCTCGGTGCAGGGCAGACCTGAAGCCCGGCACGTGCCGGATTCCCCGGCGAGCAGAAACACGCGGTCACGGAGAGCAAAGCCCACCTGTGTTGGGGACAGAAGAGGCACTGGTGGAGCCGATGCTGTTGGCCCGGGACACTATGCTGCTTTTCCGGGCATTTTCCATGAAGAGTGCTGGAATTAGAGTATCCCGGGGTCAGTGCCCAAGGCGGGGTGTGACCGGGCGCAGGGGCGTGAGGGGCGTCCCCGGGCAGCCGCTGCCACCCAGGAACGGGGCCGGGCGCCGCCCGGGCACCTACCGGAGTCCAGGCCATTGTCGCCGTAGGCCGCGTCCACCTGCGCGGGGCCGGCGGGCGGAGGAGACACGTCAGCGGGGCTGGGGCTGGGGCGGCGACCCGCGCCCCGGAGCCCCCCGCCCCCAGGAGCTCGGTCGGCCCGAGGAGCTCCCGCCACCCCCGGGCTGCGGCTCCGCTGGGGCCGCTGCCGCCGCCCCTCGCCCCGGCACTGGCTCGTGTGCGCTCCCCGCTCCCCCGGCCCCGCGCTCACCCTGCCCGGCCGCCACGAGCCCCGTCCCGGCGCGCCGCCCTGCGCCCCCGCGGCACCCGGCGGCCCGGCCCGACCCGGTCCCGGCCCCACCTTCCCCCACGAGTCCTCGGCGGCGGCGCCCGGCGGCTCCGCCATCTTCCGCCCGCCGGTCATGTGACCGCGCCGCGCCGCCGGGGGGCGCCCGCGGGCGTGACGTCACGGGCG